AAGGCTTGTGCCAGTATCAAAACAGGCATGCCTGTGCATGGACATTTCCCTGAGATCAAACATTCAGCTTCTTCTCATGATGGAACAAATCGAAATAAAATTTTGGTTTGCCTTCACTGTAGAATAAATTCCTTCTCTTTGTGTGCCTAAGCAGCCTCCACCATGGATCTGAATATCACTGTTTCCATTACCCTTTCTCCAACCCAGGGGCCAAACCATAACCTTCAGAAGACTATGACAGGATTGCTACAAGCTGCAACCTGCAGCAGACTTCTAGAAAGCTGTACTGTTCAAACACCATGGATGGACTGAACTACATTCTTTAATCAACATTCCCTACAAGTTTTTATTACTCTAAATATTATTTTGTTACTTTGAATTTGAATATTACTGTTACTTTGAATTTGCTTTGAAACTCTAGAGAATAGAAAGCACTACATGCTAATCTGTCTGGCCACCAGAAGTCATACCTCCCAGGTACAAGCTCTGTGAGTCCTGTTTGAATGCTTTGGGGCTTGTTCTAACTAACAGGGCAAAGGTTGAATGTGTAACTATTTTACTTAGTTGTGGCCTGACATATTTTTATACTTTGTTTCTTTTATCCTAGGATTGTCCAAGTTTTCATTTTAAACAAATAGCTTCTACAGAGGAAATAAATTCTCACAGCATCAGGAGAAACAAGATGCTCTTTTCCTATACCTGTAGGGAATATGAAGCACATATATTCACAGCATCACAACACAGCACAACCGAATTAGGTTTACAGTTCCAGACCCCATCTAATGGCCACTTGATTTTTGCATTATTTAAAAACAGAAACACAGAGCAATTTGCTGCCCTCCATCCATCAGCTTTAGAAATAAGGCTGCACTGTCCTTTGAGGTGTGAAACAAAGACAAGCAACAGTGCCATGTGCACCAAAGGGCGCCAGTTTACACCAAACTACAAATAAATGCCATATTGCTGAGCTGTATTGAGTTTGAAAAAACAGGGGGTGAGTAACTCACAGGGAACAAAAACAGCTGACTCATTGTTTCAAGCAAGTCTTCAGCAATCAATTAATTGCCTGATCAATGCAGCATGATGCAGGAAGCTTAATTGAAGAGAATTAATACTTGGGAAGCACATATCTCTTGGGAGGAACCACTGCCAGTAAAGTTAACTGCCTTTGGAAATGCAGCAACATTTGTTTTAGGAAGAAAAATGATGTGAGACAAGATATAAGGACACCATGGATAGTTGACATTCAGAGTAATATCCTTCAACAGGGAGGGCTCAGACTGAGAACTTACTGACACCCACAGACTCCAGTGGCAAGAGTGTTTTAGCACATACATGTCCACATTTGGAACCCAACAGCACAAAGCCATGAATTTTTTTATCATGCCATCACAAAATTGAAAAGTAAAGAATAATATTCCTGTAGGTTGAGGGACTGTGCAGACTGGGTGATTAACTGATGAATATGTGAAATGTGAATATTAACATAACGAAAGAACTAAAGATACTGTAGGAGCCAACAATACTAATTTTATTACTCTTCTTCCCTTGGAGACATCGGTGCCTTTTCCACACCAGAATACAGTAACTTACAGGGGAAGAGATACATCGGTTGTCCTTGCAAAATAAAAACTGCATTTTGATGAAAGACAAGCACATGCTTTTAACTTTGTTCTTTCTTAATCTCTCTGCAGCTCCATGTCACACCTAAATTCACAGTATACCAAGCCTTTTACACATTAGACACTTGTTCTTTGTCCACTTTGCTATCCATAAAATCAGGTTTGACTAGCTCCAGGTCTGCATTTCTTTTGACTGGCCATGGGTGAGTTGTTTATAGGCATCAGGTCTGCAGTTCCAGCCTGTGCCCCAACTCCTCTCATCCCCTACCTGTATTCCTCTGTGTCCTGTGTCTCCACTTCACTGCTCTCAGACTTATATTCTCTATACTACATCATATATTCTTTATACTACATAAAACTATCTAGGTACAAGAGAAAGACAAACAAAAGTGGAACAAATTAGCCGTGGACACCTGGTCAATTAGAAAAATTGCTGTTACAGCTACAGCAAGTAAAACAGAGCTCAGGCAGGTCACCAAGAGTTCAGACAAAGCAAACCTGACATACCTCAGTCCTGCAGCCTTGAAAATCCAGCACAAGGCCTATGGCCTGTTACCAGCCAAGGCAATAGTGTCTTGCAGGTCTATACAAGTAATAGTTTTCAAAGGAATTTTATTCCCAGTCAGACAAGTGTTGGTGGGAGCCCCATGTAGAAATGTAGTAGACATGAAACTGAGCATGTCAATTTTAAGACATTCCTCAGAAGCATAGAGCACTGGTGACAGTAATCTGAGTGGATCACTTAGAAAAATCCACTGTTCTTCTGGTGGATTCAGGCCCCATTTGACTGCTGATAGCTACATGTTATTGCCTCTAGCTATAGATATAAAATGAAATATGACCAAAAAAAAAAGAAAGAAAATCCTCAGCTTACTTGATTACCTTGCACATTTTTGCTATGCAGGATTTGTTATGGAAGAAGGGAATCTGATGTGCAAGAGTTAATGACTTCAGGATATTAATATCATCTCATTTTCTTTCTGTGCCATTTCCATTCAATGGCTTCAATTATGCCAGCACTCACCAAAGCACTAAACATCATGCTGTCCCATGTGTACTCATGGGTTCTTCAAGCAAAGCTAATGAAAACGATACAATAAGGGACTAAATTCCTGAAGACTGGCTGCTCCTCAGATCCTATTGCAAGATGAACTGGAGAGCATGATCCCTCTATTTGGATGCTGTGCCACCTGCACTGTGGGTGCCGTTCCCTGGTCTGATCCTTCCTAACAGGACTGCAAAAAAAGACAAATCTTGGAACTTTGTTTCAGAAAAAAGACTGTGCCTGGACTGTGAGCCATCGTGAAAGAGCTGTGTGCTGGCTTGCTCAGGGCTACCAAAAGCCCAAGCAGCCACTAACATGAACACTATTCCTCTACTCAGGCTGACTCCTGTCTCAGCATTTAAGGTATTTCCTTAAATAACGGTGGTAAATAATGGGCTATTACACAGAGTGTGAGGTACTGACTGCCAGAGTAGATTAAAAGTAAACAAGGCCAAATTAACACTTGTTGCTTTTGCTCATTTCATTTCTTTGCAAACACACTACAATGATAACAAACCTCTGCCTGCTGCTTAAGCAGAAATCAATACAGGGACAGAAAATGCTATTTCTGACTGAAACTGGAGTTACAATCTTCTTTAAGAAAAGCCTAGCAGAGGATGTGTGGCACAGGTACTTAAAAACCCTGCTTCAAAAACCTTACTCTTTAAACACAGCTTGAAAACAATTTTACCTCAGTGCTTTTATTTCCTAAGGACTTCTTAACCTTCCTGCTTTAATACGTTAAAACATCATAGTTAGTGCCTATGCAAATCCATTTTGTCAAGTTTACATCAACATATTATCATGTCATCCTGATTATTGTGCATCTGAACTTGAACTACATTGCTAACCAGCACAAACTCTTGCAAAGAATCCAGAAACTAAAAAGGAAGGAAAATATATTCATTTTGCTGTTTAACCAATAACCAAGGTCACTTTAATCCTGTGGGAATGGGATGATTTCTTTTTCTCAGCACCCCAACACTTTAATTCAAGCATATTTCTTTAGTTTAATGTTTTCCTGCCTGCATTTCTGCACAATTAAAGCACTTCAATATGGTCAACAATGTTAATAATATCCATTTATCTTAGGTAAATTGGCAAATGCCCAGTAACCACCCACTTATTTTTAGCAGCAGTCCCTATCCCTCCTTGCCTTGTGGGTTTTTTTCACCAGATACACTGGAAGTTGAGCCTGGATACTATGGCAGGTAGTAAAATAGTAATAAATACACTCTCAGGAAGCTGTGGCTGTAAGAACTCCATTACCTACAGAGTCTATTGTAAATTATGTATTGCTGTTTAGTATTCTTGACATTTTTAGTAAGTGCAATAAAACACCTTTATAGAGTTAGAAAGAACTGTATGCCAGCTCAAGGCAAAAAAAAAGAACAAATGGAAGACGTAATTGTTTTATCTAAAATAGATTTCTCCAGTAGATTACTACTGAAATACACTGACTTTTTCCTAGTCTGCTAAGCAGGATGAAAACCTGGAAGGCTTCATAAGTCATTCAGCGAGCCATTAGATTAGACTATAAGGTGCAGAAATGAAAATCAAAGAAAATTGCAACCTCTAAGTTCAGAGCTACAGCAAGGAGTTATATTTGCCACCTTTTTATATATAAACAGGGGGACTGGAGGGTCAGAGGTATTCATCAGAAGCTCTGAAGAGGGCAATCAGCATTCCTTAAACCCCCAGAAATATTTCTGTGCCAAAATCTAGGACTTGCAATTATTTGGAGTGAGACAAAATATTATTTAGAATAAAAAATAAGAAACTAGCTAACAGGCAGACCTTAGATTTCCATCAGCTCTAAAGCACAACCAAGCTGTGCTCTGCTTTCCTCAGTGGTCACAGTCCAAAGGATCTCTCTGTTACAACTAGAGCTGAAGTAAAGTCCTTTAAAGAAGGTTTTCATTTCTGCAGGCATAATGTGAGGTTGCATTTTCACACCTACTATTAAATATAGGTGTCACTCTGACTGCACCCTTTCCAGCCAGCTAGTGACAAGAGCAAAGTAAGCAGCTAGAAATTGAGATGGCTCCTTTTCCCTTGTACTTAGGGTCGTTTCAGCTTTGGTGACATTAAAGTAAAACAAATTATTAGATTGTTCAACATTAAATCAGCTCTCTGTATCTTCCCTGAGGTAACTCGGTATTTACCATTCTGTTTGATATCAGACAGAAATACAGCCTTTTTGGACCCCAAAATAAATGTATAATAAGTTTCTAATCATGAAACTGAACTGTAGCTGTGATAATCAAAGTTAGAACTTGAAGGAATTCTCCTATGTTTCCTTTATAGAAAAATTACCTGTACAGAAAAATTACCTTGATTTCTTCTAAAAACATCCCTGGAGTAAATTCTTCTATTCCTGAGGAATACTTCTGGTCCACCACCCTGTTCTGGCTTGAAGAACAGATTTTTGAGGCAAGAAACTGTCCTGTCAAAACAAAACAGACCAAAATATTTTTCTCTATATTATTTCCCTTTTGCTTAAAAACAAATAAAACCTCCAGATCTGAACAGCACAATGCCACCCCCTTGACTTTGCAGAAAATCAAAATTAATCATTTCTACTGCAGCAGAATTCTTTCTGCTACCTGTGTAACAGGAATCCTGATTCCTTCAAGAAAACTAGTGTCTTTTTAAAGGAGTACCCACAAAAACATCAACCTCCCTACATTCCACTCAAACGAAGATGCTCACTGAAAGGCTGTTATCTATTTGCAATATTATGTTAAGTGGAAAATGTGTTTTGAAATGTCTTGTGGATGATCTCCTCCAAGATCCCTACCTCAGCACCAGAATGAACTCACATGTGACCTGCAAACATCTGCAAATGCCTGCCACTTGCTCATACCATATTTACTTCAATAAAAGAAACAGTTATGCAACAGACACCTATTTGGTGTTGCTCTCTGCCCCACATGTTCACCAGGACTTGAAAACACCCAAAGCAAAATCCCACTTGAACATAGTTCTGAAGTCAGGGTTGTAAGGAGAAGCGCTGGGTTTCCTTGAACTTCTGCTTTAGAGTGTGGACATTCTGGGTGTGCAGCTTTTGCACAGACACACACCCACAGCCTTCTCTCCAGGCCAGGGGGACTAAGCAAGCTGCCTCCAGGCTAAACCAGGGAGCCTAAAAACAAGGGACTGAAACAAAGGTGAAATGAGTGCAGAGCTCCAGGAGGACCAACCATGTCATCTCCAAACCTGAGTAACAGAATAGGAAATCAACCTGCTTTGAGTTTTGCTGCCATTTCCTTGGTTATTGTTGGACTCCAAACCAAGCTGGACACACCAGCTCCTATTCAAAAATCTTACATTCATCATACTCCTTGTCATGTCAAAGTAATCACCTAGCTGGTAAATCCATCTTTCTGGCTTGGCATTCCAGTTGGATGGATACAGGCAGGGCAGAGGCCAGGCCTGCAGGCTGGGGGCAGATCTGTGTGCCCCCTTCCCACAGCCCTCCACACCCCAAGCTCCCCAGGGAAGCCGCATTCACACAAACAAAAACAGACCAAAAACCTCCATCCGCTGTAGCAAGACTAAAGAAAAATTACTCATCTACCATTGTTATTTTCAGAAACAAAGAAATGTCAGATGGTCCTGCATTAAATAGTCTGACCTGGAACAATTGATGTTTAGTGTCACTGAGCAGTTTTTGTTTTTTTCATATATCTCCTTTAATAGATGACCTGTGAATCCACTCTTCTTCAATTAAATGAATGCTCTTCATTTTAATTGTTGATTTCAATTGTTTTAAGTCTGTGTGTTACTAAAGAAGATAAAATGTGGTTATTATTTAAATTAGATTTTCTTCAGACACATGTGCTTTCCCTTAAAATAAGCCATTTGAAATTATGAATATATGTACTGAGGTCTAAACCACTATAATCATATTCATTGAAATTAAATGTACTCAGCACTGGTGAGGCCACACCTCAAATCCTGGGTTCAGTTTTGGGCCCCTCACTAGAAAACAGACACTGAGATGCTGGAGTGTGTACAGAGTAGGGCAGAGGAGCTGGGGAAGGGTCTGGAGCACAAATCTGATGAGGAGCAGCTGAGGGAGCTGAAGGTGTTCAGCCCAGAGAAAAGGAGGCTCAGGAAGGACCTCACTGCTCTCTACAACACCTGAAAGGAGACTGCAATCAGTTAGGGGTTGAGCTTTTCCCTCAGGTAACAAGAATCGGGACAAGAGGAAATGGCCCCAAATTGCACCAGAGGAGATTTAGATTGGATATCAGTAAAACTGTCTTCACATAAAGGTTTGTCAAGCACTGGAACAGGCTGCCCAGGGAAGAGGTTCAGTCACCATCCCTGGAGGCATTTAAAACATGTGCAGTTATGGCACTTGGGGACATGGTTTAGTGATGGGCTTGGCAGTGCTGGATTAATGGCTGGACTCACTGATCTTAAACATCTTTACCAATAAAAATTATTCTGATTTTATGACTGTGAAATATATCTTTACTGGTTAAATTTTTATAGAAATGCAAACTACTGAATTGGTTGAAGCTATGGATTTCTGACCTGAAACAAGAATTTGCTGAAGTTATAAAACTGGTTTTGGCGTTTGGACTCTCTTTTCCAGGTTCAAATATTAATTTTCCATAGGAGAAAAAAAAAAAAATTTAATCAACTGTCAGTTCAATAACTTTTTTCTTTTCAAAAAGTAGCATGCTTTCTCTTCTTCTGGTTTAGGAAAATGATACATTCAGAGCAGATGAGATCCAGTTTTAAAATCTTAAAGGGCATGATGACAAGAAATAGCAAGGTTTGCTAAGTAATTAACAGTAATATTTCAAATGTTTATTAAATAATGTTTTGAATGAGACATTTTTCATTAACTTTTTTCTCTGATATATGTACCACACTGAAGGTAGCTTTATGAAATTAATCATTAAAATGTTTCTGTGCATTTAATTGAATTTTATTGCCATTTAAATATAATTTGACACAAATTACACATAAAACATTAATCATCTAGCAGAAAGGAAATGTATCATTCATCATATTACATAGTGAAAATGTGAGACATAAAGGTCAGAGTAAGAATATGTTAAGCTAGTTATTACTTACTGACACATACCAAAACCTATATATATAAATATCCACATATTTTTATAGGTATAGCTGTATGTCTTTGTGTCCAAACACACATGGTTTAACAAATGTTGTCTTGGTTAGCAAAAAGATGCCAAATTTATTCTACAAACATATTCTTTCCCAAATCAAGAAGTTTTAATAGTTCTTTGCCAGTAAAGGACTAAGCTATCTTTGGTAAAACAATTATGATCATAAATTGAAAACAAGGTTATAATAGATTACATAAATCAAAGCTGCCCACTTACTGATTTAAATTATTATTAGAATTGACAATTTACATCATTTTTAATTAAACTAATTCAGTCATGCAAGGATATTTTTTGTTCTTAAAGTATTCCACAAGATTTAGAGAAAATTGAATTAGAAGCCTGTCCACTCAAAAAGTCACAACAAAATAACACAAGTTATTTATAAATAAATATATTTGTAACAAATATTTTCTGTAGAAAAAAAAATCACATTTTGCTTCCAGTTAGCATATTCCAGAGCCAGGGCTTGGGTTGTTCCTGAAGACCCCATTTTCTGAGTCCTCATTCACCCCATGATGTTTTTGCCTATATGATATTTTCTACTTGACCCATTATTTAATGTATATTTTCTGTTAAAAGGTGGATCTAAGTCAAAATATGGTAATTTAGAAACATGTTATAACTTGACTCTTCCCAGACTACTGTAGAACACAAATATTCAAAATGATTAATTGTGCCTATACCCAAGATCAGATCTGGGACAATCAGCTGGGACTTTAACATTTAATGACCTTCATTTTCCTATCTTGTTTCAGGAACTTCTCTGTGCAAAATTAAATTCCATGACCAACATGTGACTGCGCTTGGCACAGAGTTGTACAAGAAAGATTTTTCTCTAGGTCTCTACAGGAACAAGCAAGGCCTTGGCTCAGCAGCAACTACTTCCTAGGGTAACAAAACTGATCTTGGATGCTGGCCTTCCCCTGCCCCCACAATTGCCATCCCCATCACATCTAGATTTTCAGCCTCTGTACAATGAAGGTTCTCACTATGAGCAAAAAAAATGGCTTGTGGACAATAAGTAGGACATGTTCCATGCTGTTCAGCAAAGGTTGGCCTTTTAGGTCTTGTGGGACTCACCACTGCTAAAGAGCTCAATGAAGGATGGTAGTTTGCATTGACACTGTGACACTATGCTGGAAGGAACTGCCAGTCCACTGGACAACAGGATTAGTACTGGAAATCACCTTGAAAACTGGATAAATGTGCTGGGAGGGGGAGTGGGGGAAATTCTGCTGTCAGCAGGGTGAGGCACAGCACTTGGGAAGGAATAATTAACAGCATCCGCACTAAAGGGCAGCAACCCCTCACAGTGCAGTTTTGAAGAAACAATCTATACACTGTAGTGGACCAGTCTGAAAATAAACCAGATGTGAGCAAGGGAAAGAGGAGAAGGAGACACAGCAGCAAAATAGTCCCTGAAAACACATCCCATGGCAATAGCTTTGGCTGGTCCGTTCTCTCCAGTTTTCACCCTGCACTTCGTTTGAACAAAGTGCAGAGAATAGCAATAAAAAGAATCCAAGTTCAGAAAGAGAGAAAAAGAGTTGAGGGATATTTAGCCTGAAGACAAAGCAGAATGATAACCCATCCACTTCTAAGCCCATTCTGTACTCAGCAGCCAGGAGGTACAGATATGCAGTCCCATCAGTGACACCATTCATTCTGTAACATTTTTCAATTCTAAGCAAACTAGCAAGAAATTAAGGTAAGCTTTATCTGCTCAAACAGACATCAGAGTGCAAGCACTCATTGCAGACTCTTTCGATAATCAAAGGGAAATTCATTTCAGCCTAAGCAGAGTCCATGTTTGTTCATGAGAAGCATGGACTACACAAGTATTTTAGTAACTATAATGACAACCCAGGGTGATGAGCTTGGATGAAGGTATTAATTCAGTAGAGATGAACTCCACTCCAAATTATTTTGGAGAACCACACAAGATACTCTCTTTAAAACTATAGATTACACAGAATATGTCTGTCAAAGGAACTGTTTCTCTGCAATAACTGAAAAGTGCATGTGCAGCTGTGTTTTCACGTAAAATATTTCCCCTTTTCAATACAATTACTATGAATGTCCATTAGCTAAATACAATTAATAAAGAAGAAAGAAATGAGGACTTACTGGGGCTCAGAGAAATACAAGGATGGAGTATGTCGTTCACTTTTTATTAAAGAAATATCAGCCAAGTAATATGAGATGAGATAGAATGAATGTTAGCTTATGAATCTTCCAAGTTAATAAGCTCCAGTGCTTCAGAGCAGAAAAGCCTGGTCTGCAGTGAGTTAAAATG